CGAGACTCAAAACTCAATAATGAGTAAAAATGGCTAACTTCCGATTTTATGGGTTCTGTCCAGCATTTTCGCACCTGCGAACTATATTTTCGCACCTGCGGACTCACATTTGCGAGACAAAGCTCGCATTTGCGGAACAGGGCTGCCTAGCAGAAGACCGCATCTGCGGACCTTCACGTCGCAGGAGCGACTGCGCAGAAGCGCGAAGGAAGCAGCAAAAGCGAGACCTCCGCATTTGCCGTCTCTCAGCCACAGAAGCGGTATCGCTCTTGCGCGAAATGCACCGCAGAAGCGGTCAGGAGGTGACCAGTGCCCACGTCGCAGAAGAGACCAAAATTCTGCAGAAGCGGCCTCGCACCTGCGGCCAAAATTGCGCAGGTGCGATGCACCAGAACCAGACTTGTGTTCTTGAACAAAAATGGTCAGAAATTCGTTCGAAACTCATCCGAGCACCTCGGGACCTTGTCCGAATATTCCAACAAGTCATGTAACATAATACGAACTTACTCGGGGTTTCAAATCACGTCAAACAATATCGAAATTATAATTCACACCTCTATTCGAACTTTTGATTTTTCAAAATTTTTACTTTGCAAAACTCGTGCCAAAACATATTAAACGAATCCGAAATGACTTCAAATTTGGCACACAAGTCATAAATGACATAACGGAGCTATTCCAATTTTCAGAATCTCAATCCGAGTCTGATATCAATAAAGTCAAATCCGTGGTCAAACTTTGGAAACCTTTAGCCTTTAGATTTCTAGTTTTCGTTAAATGGCAATAATTTGAGCTAGGGACCTCTGAATTCAATTTCGGGCATACTCCCAAGTCCCAAATCACAATACGGACCTACTGAAACTGTCAAAATACTGATCCGGGTCTGTTTGCTCAAAATGTTGACCAAAGTCAACTCAGTTGAGTTTTAAAGCTTTATTTCACATTTTAATTAATTTTTCATATAAAAACTTTCGGGAAAATTATTCGGACCACGCACGCAAGTCGAGGAATGATAAATAGTTCTATTTGAGGTCTTAGAACACATAAATGAGTGTTTAAATTAAAGATAATATTTTTAGGTCATCATATTCTCCACCTCTAAAACAAGCGTTCGTCCTCGAACGGAATAAGAAAAATACCTGATTTGGTGAAAATATGTGGATATCTACTCCGCATGTCCGACTCGGACTCCCGTGTAGATGCTTCTACCAGTTAACCTCTCCATTGCACCCGAACTGAAGGATAACTCTTAGACCTCAACTGTCGGACCTATCGGGCTAGAATAGTTATCGGCTCCTCTTCATAAGTCAAATCTTTGTCCAATTGGACTGAGCTGAAATCTAATACATGGGACGGATCACCATGATATTTTCGGAGCATAGACACATGAAACACCGGATGAACTGCTGATAAACTAGGTGGTAGTGCAAGCATGTAGTCTACTTCATCCATCCTTTCAAGAATTTCAAAGGGTCCAATATACTTAGGGCTCAACTTGCCCTTCTTTCCGAATCTCATTACACCTTTCATAGGTGAACCCGGAGCAATACTCTTTCTTTAACCATGAATGCAATATCACGAACTTTACGGTCGGCATAACTCTTTTTCCTAGACTGAGCTGTGCGAAGTCGATCCTGAATAATCTTGACCTTATCCAAGGCATCCTGTACCAAATCGGTACCCAACAATCAAGCCTCTCCTGGTTCAAACCAACTAACTGGNAACAAGCCAACTGTCGAACGACATCACCTCCCGTATAATGCTTCATATGGATCCATCTGAATGCTTGACTGGTAGCTGTTATTATAAACAAACTCCGCAAGTGGCAAGAACCGATCCCAAGAGCCTCCAAAGTCTATAATACAAGCGCAAAGCATATCTTCCAATATTTGAATGGTGCGCTCTGATTGTCCGTCTGTCTGTGGATGAAATGTTGTACTCAACTCAACTTACGTGCCTAACTCACGCTGTACAGCCCTCCAGAAGTACGAGATGAACTGTGTACCTCGATAAGAAATGATAGATACGGGCACACCGTAAAGGCAAAAAATCGTGCGGATGTAAATCCCCACTAACCGCTATGAGGAATAGGCAACTGCTACTGAAATAAAATGTGCTGACTTGGTCAACCTGTCCACAATGACCCATACTGCGTCAAACTTTCTCTGAGTCCGTGGGAGCCCAACCACAAAATTCATAGTGATACGCTCCCACTTCCACTCAGGAATTTCTAACTTCTGAAGCAAACCAACAGGTCTCTAATGCTCGTACTTGACTTGCTCACAATTTAGACACCGAGCTACATACTCAACTATATCTTTCTTCATTCTCTTCCACCAATAATGTTGCCGCAAATCTTGATACATTTTGGCGGCACCTGGATGAATAGAATACCTGGAACTTTGGGCCTCTTCCAGAATTAATTCACGAAGCCCATCCACATTAGGCACACAGATAAGACACTGTATCTGCAGAACTCCATCTTCCCCCACAGCAACCTATTTGGAACCATCGTGTCGTACCGTGTACTTAAGGATGAGCAAATGAGGATCATCATATTGCTGCTCTCTGATACGCTCATATAAAGAAGACCGGGCGATTGTGCAAGCTAGAACCCGACCGGATTCTGAAACATCTAGCCTCACGAACTGATTAGCCAAAGTCTGAACATCTGCAGCTAACGGTCTCTCACCAACCAGAATATACGCAAGATTGCCCATACTCATAGCCTTTCTACTCAAAGCATCGGCCACCACATTGGCCTTTCCGGGGTGATACAAAATGGTGATATCATAACCTTTCAACAACTCCAGCCATCTTCTCTACCTCAAATTGAGATCTTTTTGCCTGAACAGATATTGTAGGCTACGATGATCAGTAAATACCTCACACGAGATACTGTAAAGGTAATGCCTCCAAGTCGAAATCGTGAAAAATCCCTTTGGAATCGCCTAAATCCGAGACTCAAAACTCAAAAATGAGTAAAAATAACTAACTTCCGATTTTATGGGTTATGTCCAACATTTTCGCACATGCGGACTCGTATTTGAGAGACAAAGCTCGCATTTGCGGAACACGACTGCCCAACGGAGGACCGCATCTGCGGACCTTCACGTCACAGAAGCGACTGCACAGAATTGCGAAGGAAGTCGCAGAAGCGAGACCTCCGCATTTGCGGTCTCTCAGCCGCAGAAGCGTCATCGCTCTTGCGCGAAATGCACCGCAGAAGCGGTCGGGAGGTGACTAGTGCCCACGTCGCAGAAGCGACCAAAATTTCGTAGAAGCGGCCTCGCACCTGCGGCCAAAATTGCGCAGGTGCGACGCACCAGAACCAAACTTGTGTTCTTGAACAAAAATGGTCTGAAATTCGTCCTAAACTCATCCGAGCACCTTGGGACCTCGTCTGAATATTCCAACAAGTCTCGTAACATAATACGGACTTACTCGGGATTTCAAATCATGTCAAACAATATCGAAATTACAATTCACACCTCGATTCAGACTTTTAATTTTTCAAACTTTTCACTTTGCAAAACTCGTGCCAAAACATATTAAACGAATCTGGAATGACTTCAAATTTGGCACACAAGTCATAAATGACATAACGGAGCTATTTCAATTTTCGGAATCTCAATCCGAGTCAGATATTAATAAAGTCAAACCCGTGGTCAAACTTTGGAAACCTTTAGCCTTTAGATTTCTAGTTTTCGTTAAATGGCGATAATTTGAGCTAGGGACCTCCGAATTCAATTCCGGGCATATGCCCAAGTCCCAAATCACAATACGGACCTACTGGAATTGTCAAAACACTGATCCGGGTCTATTTGCTCAAAATATTGACCGAAATCAACTCAGTTGAGTTTTAAAGCTCTATTTCACATTTTAATCAATTTTTCAAATAAAAACTTTCCTTAAAATTATTTGGACCGCGCACGCAAGTCGAGGAATGATAAATAGTGTTATTTGAGGTCTTAGAACACATTAATGAATTTTTAAATTAAAGATGACATTTTTGGGTAATCACACCTAGATACCCCGATTAGGAGGTGCGAGCGGTTGGCTCTGACGGGTATGAGAAGAGGTAGAGGTTGCGTAAGAAGTATTGGGGAGAGGTGATCAGGCAGGACATGGCGCGATTCCAGCTCACCGAAGACATGGCTCTTGATAGGAAGGTATAGTGGGAGAGCATTAGGGTTGAAGGTTAGTAGGTAGTTGAGCGTTTTTCTACTCCGTTCTGTATGTAAGTCTAGTCTGCCAATGTCGTGTTTTAGTATGCTAGTGGTACATGTAGTGCTCGTACGATTTTCTAGGACCTTGTCATTGCACAGATTATTGATATTGCTTTTTCAGGTATATTTTCTTATTCTTAGCTCGCTAGTACTATCTTTTTGGTTATATTGTTGTTACTATTCTATTGTCGCATTTCATCTTTTTGTGTCGAGGGTCTATCGAAAATAGCCTCTCTACCCCCAGGGTAGGGGTAAGGTCTTCGTACACACTACCCTCCCCAAACCCCACTTGTGGATTATACTGGGTTGTTGTTTGTTTGTTTGACCCTCTAATGCAATCCTCTTCATTTATCCAAGCTTGAGACCAACCATTTTTAGTAAAGTAGGTATATTCGTCTGCGAAAGAACTACATGACTTACAAACTCTTCGAAGATCATGTTTTACTTACAAACTCGGCTCTAATACTAGAAGTCATAAACAGATGCAACGGCATTTTTAAAATCAAAATCTAACAAATTTACTCGTCTCTTATCTAAAGACTAAAATCCACATACAATATCAACTTTCGCGAATTTGAAAAACGCCGTCCGATCACATTTCTGTAAATTTCAAGATACAAAATAAACAAAAATGATGTGGCGGACATCAAATAGTTCCTAATATTATCAAAACTCATTTACAAAACATATTTGATATAGATTCAACTGACTTTTGACAATTAGAGATAACTTCTCAGCATACTTCAAAACAATATATTTAGAGAAGCAAAATGTTCAATCGCTAATAGCCAATTATTACAACAACAATTGACAAGGGCCGTGTGTTGGTGTGAGCTTCAATGGAATTTATTACAATGTATTACAAACAGCTGAAATGTCGAAGGAAAGTTATAATTTCAAATCTGTGAGAAGTAAAAGGAAGAACCATACACTTATGTACTTCACGAGCTCAGTAAGTCAAAAATGAAGAATCTTGCTACGTATTTACGAAAATTTACAGCAGAAAGAACTTCTGCATAAATCTTGAACAAGCTTCACAGCAGCAGAAATAACCCCTCAGAAATCTTGAACAAGGCTTCAATGTCAGCTGTGAAATTAAACAGCCAAAACACAGGCAGTAAGAGTTTAAATATTTCAATAAGGAGCAACAATGCATTCAAGGAACGTAAGTCAGCAAGCACAACTACATGCCTTAGACAACAAAGAAATTACTAAAAATATACAATTTAATAAGTAACTGAACTGAAAACTGAGCACTGACGAAACTATCATTGAAACATAAAGGTAGAAAAGAAACGAGTCAAGAATGTATCACTATCGACGTCTACCATTCAGATTCTAGATGCTTACAGACCTTGCTATTGTTAGTTTGAAGATGATGGTCAACAGCGGCATTACCGAGGACCAGAAGCACCAATTCTCTCCAGTTTTATACACAAGTCCATTTGTCACTATTGGCTTATGACAAATCAAAAGATCCTTGACCTTCATTAATGGCATAGAGTAACTTCTTGTACATGATTTCCTGTGGAGTGAAATAATGCATAAGAAATTTACTTGGGATAAAAGACACGGAATTGACTGGGAACAGGAAATATCAAACTGCTAAGAGGCAGATGCAGACGCAGGGAGAACATTGGCAGCATATGGCGGTAGTAATAAGAGAAACTCTACCTTACTTGAATAGGGAGGAAGTTTCAAGTAATTAGCACATGTCATCACACTAGGTAGGTCTTCATCTGCAGATTCTGATGGTGCATTAGTGTTGTGTGCTGCATTGCCAGCAGTGGATGAATGCTGTCCCAAATATATGATGGTCAGTCACTGAAATAAAGAGACATGGAAAATAGGCCCACTTAACTTTTAGCTACAACCATACCTTCCTCACAATTGTCAACTTAGGATTCAGACCAGTAAGACCACCTGGAGGGAGCCGGGGAGCACCAGTGACAAACTGACAGAATGCTCGTTGCTGCTCCGGTGTGAACTCTCCCATAATCTCTAGTAGCTGAGGAGAATAATATATTACAACTTATAAACTTGAAATAAATATAAGTGAATGATGAAGAACAAAATCCGAATCATCATTGTTTCAGGCAGTTTTTTCACCAAGAGCAGAAGAACAAAACTTACGTGAATAATGGGAGGACTCTTGGCTGTGTACCCATGGTCGAATTTAATGTGATCTACTAACGTCTCGGGCTGCATAACAAAAAAGAATACAACATATTCAATCAAATAAAGGAAATGCAAGCCTTATCATAACCAGAGGATTCATGAGAAGAAATGTTACCTTCCACAACTCCCTACGGCCACACAACAAGTAGTCCAACTCTGTAGCAGAGAATATTTGTAGAGTTGAAATTTCAAAAACCTGAAAATTGTGAAGCCTAAAAGTTATTTATCATTAGATATAAAATCATCTACAGGTATATCTAAGTTGCTAATATATTAAAGAAATCACGATCTGCGACAAGGAACTATCAGATTGTCCCACTATGTGCTGTTCTAACCCCACAAGATCATCTTAGTCATTTAAGTTCTCCAGAAAAAATCCTCAAGCTATAAAGGCTTACGACAGCAGCAAACCTGATTGAAGCCAGATCTAAAAGCTTCCGTTTGCTTCCTGATTCCAGACCTGACAGTAGCATCAACTACCAAAGAAATGTATTCCTCCAAGTTACTGAGATCCACCTGCAAATTCCATCCAAGGTATTGAAAGAAATATCAACAGAAATAAGGCATGCAATTGAGGGACTTCTGTCAAATACCAAAAGTAAAAAGAGAAGAAAAGGGCAGCCCGGTGCATTAAGCTCCCGCTATGTGCGGGGTTCGGGGAAGTGCCGGGCCACAAGGGTCTATCGTACGCAGCCTTACCCTGCATTTCTGCAAGAGGCTGTTTCCACGGCTCGAACCCGTGACCTCCTGGTCACATGGCAGCAACTTTACCAGTTACGCCAAGGCTCCCCTTCCTAAAAAGAGAAGAAACAAAAGAATTAAGAGGGATGACATCCAAGATATCACGGCTTACATTCTCATCGCATGCTTTAAAAACATATTCAGGATAGCCGGGAAGTGTGAAATCTAAACATAGATCCTCAATTGGTGTCCCATGGAAATGCACGTCATAAAACTTGTCTTGGTTCTGATCTTCCATAGATTCTATATATTGCTTTCGACTAACAAGAGCCTGCAACTCTTGCAAAGTCTTCCCCAATTCAGCGTCAAAAGAAAGAATATCGTACAAATCAAGCTCCTGCAGTGTTTAAGTTAGAAACATTAGTGGAACAGATAAAATACAAAGGTGCGTGCAACAACTGATCGCAGAGGACAAGTGTGCAATATGAAAAAGAACAGCAGGGAGAGCTTACTTGGCCAAGAACAAGCTTATAGAAGGCAGTAGACAGTGGAAGGTCCATAAGCCGTCCATCTTGAAGAGCTTTGGCCATAACACGTCCAAGCAAGCGGAAATGTTCAATTACCTTACAGAATTGACCTCCATTAACAGTATCAGCATGTGGTGGCCAGGGACGTGGGAATAATCCAAGAGGTGCTCGGACAAGATCTTTATCACTGCCACTTAATTTATTATCTACACAAACTTCCATCGAATGTCCATTTGACGTTGATGATGAACCAGACCTCCACATTCCAAGTCCGACTTTTTGAAGATCATGACTTAAAAGGGTATAAAACTCCAGTGTAGGACCCAAGCCAGTACCAACTTCACCAAAATATTCAACTTCAAGAACAGCTTTTTGGCTAGAATACATCTCCATTACTTTAGCAGCAGAATCCAGAATGCGGTTCCTTGAGACACGAACTTTCTGGCGCTGCAATCTACCAACTCTAACTGCTCTCTCATGAGTAGATCCATTACCTTCAGCACCTTGCTGTTGCTGTAGCCTGTTTAAAGCGCGTGACAACCCAAAAGCAGTTGAATAGAAGAACTGGCGCCGAGTCTCAAATGGAAAAAGAAATGGACAGGCCTTTGTCAACTGGTAACACCAAGATGGGAGAGACCCACTACAAAGTGCAAGAGCATCCTGGATCTGTCGTGCCAATTTCGGAGTGAGCTTACTATTGACAAATTCCTCATAAGGAATTTTGACAACCGTAGTATTGACCTCATCTAAACTAGAAACTTTTCCTTCAGCGTAATCATCAATCAGTGAAAGGACTCGCAAACGGGGGGCAAGCTGATTCAGCGCCTCCAATACACGTAATAGGTATAAAATACTGTAAGTAGGGTTACTTTTCTCCAGATCACAAGGAAGTTCTCCCTGCAATATACTATCTAACAATGATGCTTGAAGCAAGGAGGGATCAACACTGGAACTTTCCAAAGAACTGGCTTTCGTAGACTTGGAAGAAATTAAGCTCCCAGCCCCATTCATCAACCTCTCAACTTGGCTCTCTGCCCTTTGGTATGTGATAGTGTAAATATCACTCCAAACCCTACTTCCGTCACTGGATGCAAAATCATTGCCATCATCTCTCTCATCATCATCCTCGTCTAGAACAAGCTGCCGCTGGATAGCCTGGTAGACAGTCAAGTGCCTATTAAGCAGCTTTCCACCAACAGAAAATATTAGTTTTGGTGGATCACCAGAGCCAAATAGAGGGCGCCCGTGCTGATCTCTAGCGTCCCTCACACCTCGACCACTAGCAGATGAAAGTCCCGCCATGGCAGCAGCAGCAAATGACATTGCACCCCGTGAACTGTAGGAATTCCTACTCCTGAACTCAATGGAATCAGATCCCCCAGCGGAGGTTCTGCTCCTAGAACCACCACCAGCATTTGTATGGCTATCACTTGGGGTCTGTGCAAGAGGACTATCCTCCGAGGAATCCACCAATTTAACATCATGCACTTCATCTTGCAAGCAGACAGGAAGAGAATCATCCCTCAGCATCTGGAAATATGGGCAGACAAAGTAAGAATGTCGCTAATACCATATGTGCCCAACCATCTGTATCTAACATTCAAAGAGATTTTCAGAGTGACGCATCGAGAAAAGGATAAAGGTATGACATACGGGAAAGCAAATACAAACCCTTCCTCCCTCCTCTCAACCCCCAAGAAGAAAAGCAGTCTGTAAATAGATACCTACTTTTTTTATAACCAAGATATCCGATATTTCCAGCTTCAGAATTCGGTGGACAATGATACTGCCCCTACACACTTCCCCACTTAAAACTATTCTTTCTCTTCCTATAAATGATACTCCCGCATATTTTTCCTGGGTATTTTCTTTTTGGGGTTAAAGTCATTTCTCTCGGTAGATGTCATTATCTATTGTTTGCATTACTCATCTTCAACCTACTAATTATGCACTCCTAAGAATGTCAAGATAAGGTGAATCCCAAAGCCTGCCCTAGGAGGGCTGACCAAATTACTATCCGAAGTTTGGGTTTTTTTTTAAACAGGAATGACCAATCCCTTGTTTCAATGCTCTATGTAAGGGTCTTGGGTTGCTATAGGTACAAGTTAAGTGACTAACAATTCCATAACAAGGGGTGGGATTACACACAGGGAACAGAAGCAAATGTCCAATTTACATCCTCCCCATACCTTCCCAATCCTTATATAGAAGGGAAGGGTTTGATTGTGCCCAAGAAAGTATATCTCATTGTGAATTCCATGCCTTTCTCAATAACTAAAAGTAGGACAAAAGTATGTGCACTCTCAACCACAGTCCTTACTTAATGATCCGTCATCTCACAGCCCCTTGCTGTAATAGAACAGATTTAACCTATATTCTCAGATCCGCATACCAAAACCCAGACCAAGTCCGATTTTTTACTTGAACCCTGATCCACAAGCACATTAAGTTCATGTTTGTTTTCTAATAGAATAAATTTAATCAGGCTTTCCTTTCTTTTTCCCACGCAATCAACCCACTTAAAGTGTCCTATGGGCTTGCTCCCTGTGGCCAACATTTCTTTAATTTATGTACTTCTAACTACATTCCTTGCACTAAAAGAGAGGGTAAATTTCATTATTTGACACTAATGCATCTTTAAGAATCAGAAAATCAAAGGCTTACAGTTACTGCAGCTTCTAAACTAAAGTTTCCCGACCAAAGTTATTTCATTTGCCTAACAGTGTTCAAGAAGACTTTAAACTCTTAAGATCGAGTTAATCCACTTCGAACAAATTAAGCAAAAAATAATAAAAATAGAAAGAAAAGAAAGAGAGAAATTTAGTAACAAACATCATCATGGTCATCTTCGTCAGACATATCGTCCTCAATCACCAAAGCATCATCAAGTTCAACGGGAGAAATATCCAGCTCGTCATCCTTAAAATGAGAACAGGCAGGAAAATGTCAGCATTCATGATGTTATCAAAACCATTAACCCCGGCTTAGTAGTTGAAAAATGTAAGGAGCAACCAGGAAAAAAATCTAGGTTCCCATAAATATCTTTGCTTCATCTGGAAAACTCAAATTTTCAATAAAGCAATAGGGGGTGATTAACAAATCACTTTGATCTCCTTCAAAAAGAAGATGAAGATATTACATTACCTTGGAGGAAGTTTTAGATGTGAAACTAAATGTTTGATTATTTTAAATGAAATTGCTAAGATATCAATCAGATGCATATGATTTGCTTCTTACTTGAGAGATGGGAGTTCAACTTTTGACAAGGGTTTGCAAAATACAGTTTAAACTGTAAACAAAACAATAATATTACAGTTTGATTCAATTTGCAATTAGAAGAGAATAGTTTAGTTTGTAAACCATTCAAAGCTGTCATTCAGTTTGGTTCCAAAATCTTTGAAACAAAACCAAATTGTAAATCGGTGTTTAACTAAAAGTACATTTTTAAAACATACATAAATACAAGTACGTGTATAAACCCTTATAAAAAGAAAATTACCCACCCTTTTTCTCAAAGTTATATTTATATGAACATTAGTTTGATGGGGCATTAGATTTCCTAAGTTAAGGCTGCTCTAGCCTCTACCAATGTAAAATATAATATTTTAAACCCCGTACTCCTAATTGAATTTCGGTGAATTCATAAACTAAACCAAAGCCCGATTTGGTTTCAAGTTTCAGCGTTTAAATGGCTTGGAGAAGTTGTGAACCATACTTAGAAAAATCACAAACCATCAAGAGATAATATCCTTTCTTGGCTTGATCAATGTTTTATCCAAGACTAGCAGGGGCTATGTGGTTAACAGCCTTCACAAGTTCCCTGTTATCTTCCTTCTTTTAAACAATCATCCTGTTTCACCAACTAATTTCCAAATTGACACGAAGAGAAAAGAACAGAAAACAAGACATCAACAATTAATGGCTCTAAACACTTCTGAGGTATGTACGTACGTACGTACGTACATACATACATACATACATGCATGCATGCATGCTCGCACACATATATACATACATACATGCATAAAGTAAACAAAATTACCTCTGAAGAAGAGTCCCCGTTAACAGGTTTCACCTCTGTATCCTTATCCAAAGCTGCTTTTCTCCGAGCAGCATTTTTTGTTTGAGGTTCTCTGCCATCTCCTTGAGCAGGCTTCATAACCGCTTTTCCTTTGCCCTTCGAAGAGCTTCCATCTTTTTC